AATGGCATGTACCTCCACATGCAGAAATATATTACTATTACTCTCTGGGAAAAGCTCGCCAAATTAAACGCCATCAACTTTACTTCTTAAGTCCAATCAAAACGTGAATAAACATGCAGTAACAATTCGTCACGTACACATGTACAATTTTCATCACCGTCACTGCTGGTTGAAATCGTGCCATAATAACTCGTCTTATCAACTTGATGAGCTTGAAAGTGTCACCGGCACACAGATTATAACAACGCCGTTGTATGAAACCCCTTTTAACTCAAGGATTCGTAATGCCAGTTAAATCAAATGTTGAGAATAGAGGGATGCAAAAATATATGTGGATAAGTGTAATAGTTTCAGTGTGTATGCAATCTAAACTGACTTGTGGTACGAAGAGATTAGTAAGACGGATCACCCAAGCATGGTCTAGTGCAAATGCCTAATCAAGAGTCTTTAGCTAAAGATACGTACTGCAAAACTAGTCAGGTCAGTGTCAACGTCAAAGACTTACGAAACTACTTAAGTTGTAAGTCCACCTATCTCTACAGGCTTTCCAATCCAAACAATGAATTTATGACCCTTCGAAAATGATAATCCTTTCGTCAAGTTAGTTTTTTATAATCTCACAAGACCGATCAGCTTATCCAGAATGTTTGTAAAGCTAATACAGCCATACCGGCCAGTATGAAGAGCTGTTGATCTCCAGTCCTGAACGTATGACTAATGAGAAGGCATTCTAGGCTTTTGGGAGTTTATTTTCGGCCTGGAACATGCTAAAAATAAACTCTTTGTTGAGAAGTAACCAGTTCAGCAGACTACGGTGCCCTACTATGCATGAGGATTCTGGGCAATCAAAAGACTTTCCATTATGATAAATAATGATTCCTTAAACTATGCATTGATGATATTGTCTTGTTACCTTTCGGTTGTCACCATACGTAGTAAGGCGTATTCATGTTTCAATCCTTACTATTTTCGTATTAACCTCACGTATAAAATCGGCTGACTGAGGTAAAATGTGAAAGTAATCTTGAATAGGCTTATGGAATGAACAAGTCTGGCGATGTGTATCTCACCGTAATTGTAGAACGCCTAAAAACGGTACTGTCTGCTGATGCTGGTAGTATGAAAAAGGATCAATTGAAAGAAACAACTTTATAGGACAAGTATAAATTACCTGGCGTTTTAGAATTACTTACTCAAACCGAAACAATGGTCATTAGTTCAAAGGGCAGTGGTATTTTTCCTCCAAGTATATTTTATAGTACTGTTCGTTAAATCATACATCAAGACTACTGTCTTTGCTTTAATTGAATTTATTTCAGTTGAAGTAAAGATACAAAAAACAAAGAGTACTGGTATTTATTTCTCCTCGTTCAGTATACCTTTTAGTGTTGTTTGTATACAAAGGTGTTTAGGTCTTTTTGTAACTACAGAACTCGGAGTTTTCGTTGTAGTTAGGTAGTTATACACAAACCTCTGTTTTTGTTTGTGTTCCGTGTCTATCACCTATCAAGCCTTAAAAGACACCTATGTAAAGATCAACTTTTGCTGTGAGACCATAAAAATAATTTATGGGGCAAGTAAAACATCCTTGTGTCAGACCTGCATGCTGTTTCACTGTCAATAGCGAGATTCTTTGTGGCAACTGCAGTGAGTGGTATCACAATGTATGCACTGGACTCACATCAGCTGCAGGCCATTATCACGTTGGCTGTGCAAAGCATGTTGTTCTACAAAATCTCTGATGATTCTTGAGGCGATTGAGCTGCTGAACATAGCTAGAAAATTGCCCCCGAGTAAACAGGTAGCATTATATGAGCAGAGTTCGGCTTTTGAGGAACTAGCGAGCGTCATCATGGGCCCAGCTCTGGATTCAAATGAAAGCATAAAGGTGGACCCCATTAGGAAGCAGAAAACAAGCATACCAATGTAGGCATTGTTACAAGGAAAGAGAAGAAGCATGCTGAAAAAAAAACTTAATATAGACAGTACTAAGATTTGTGAATCTACGGTTACAGTCACGTATTCACATATCAACTCAAAACAGACTACGGGGGAGCAAAGTCTGAGCTTTATAAAGGATGTGATCAAGAGACAAAATAAGGTACCGAATTGGCTTACAGTCACACTCAGAATAAAGAGTTAGAAAACAGAGGGAGACCTCTGCGTCCGACGCCAAATCGGAATCGGACTGCAGGCAGAAGAAGATTTAAGGAATTAAAATTCCACATGTTAAGATGGATCCGCTAACAGGTCAGTCATTTTTCATAGGTTATGAGGATCTTCCGAAAAGGAACCAAAGGCTAGATTTGAGCACGACCTCAGGCACATTTAGTCCTTAATAAGCAAGCCACTCCCAGAAACAGTTTCAGGAGTTAGCATCTTTAAGCTCTATAGAATAGGACAAAAGGTGGATCCTAAAAGTACTCAGAAAAGCCGCCTCCTGAAGGTTACTTTTGCTTCGGCTGAAGAAAGGAACCTGGTACTGAGAAACTCACACAAAATGATTGGACACGGAATATACGTCCCTGGAGATCTCAGTCTGGCTGGCCATATTAAGAGACGATTGGTAGACGTAGAAATGAATGAGCGCCGCCGAGGCAGTGAAAGAAATCTCATAATAAAGGGTCTTCAAATTGTAAACGTCCGCAGCAAAACGATTCCTAAACCACTGTGGGTGGTAAGTGAAAGTTTTACACAGAATTAAAGGTGTGCTACCCAAATGCTTGCAGCCTACTAAATAAAATGGCAGAGCTCAACACAATGACGGATACAGAAAAACCGGATGCCATTGCTGTTAACGTCATCGGTTAACGTCAGAAGATTTTGATAATGAAATTTAGTCAACTGGATTTTATCCAGTAGAGCTGATAGACTAAACCGTGGAGGAGGTTGGGTTATCAAGTACACAAATAGTATCCTAACCATACGAACTGTTGAGACAGTGGCACACTATTCAGGGATATGTGAACTGGTGTGTTGCAGGTTGAAATGTAGACGGTAAGATATTGAATTACTTGAAGTATGCCGCAGTCCAGAATGTGTAGTAAATGGTACAATAGGGGTAAAAGCCTTATAGTATGTGGCTTTAATGTGTCGTATATAAACTGTGTAAAGTTAGGAGTAGAGTCATCGACAACGTCGTTGGATTGCTAATTGTTGGAAACGACAACTGCCCCAGCTATATTTCAGCACATTAGAGGTCCCACCAGATATGAATCACGAAGCGCCTTGTTTTTCTTGGACTTAGTCTTCCCACACGATTATGATGTACGTCAAATGACTTTCCCTCACCTATAGGGAGAAGTGATCACACAGTCATCCTATGCAAGTTTATGGTTGAAATGGCCTGTCATGTATTTGCGCCGGCCCGTCTTAACATGCGGAAGGCAGACACAGAGGCGATAAATCCTGTAGAATCGGCTGAAAACCGTATAACTGACCCCGGCGCATCAGTAGAAGAGGTATGGACAGACAGTTATACAACCAGGTAACTCAACCACATATACTCTGGACAGTCCAAAAGAAGAGAAAAGCAAGGTCATCCCTGGATAGACCCGGATATTCGACGTTTATTAAGACGGAAGAAAAAATGTTGGAACGTTGCCAAAAGCCTTGGCCCAGCAAGTGCTATGGAACGCTACAGATCGGAAGGAAATAAGTGTATGATTAAAATCCGGGAATCTCAGAGAAAATATGAAATGCAGTTGGCATAATCTGCAATCCAACAGCCTAAGAGACTAACCTCGTATATAAATTACGAAACAAGGATGCAGCATTGGTTTCCCAACACAATTACAGAAGGGAGTGGATCTCAAATGATAGAAAATGACCAGGAAAAAGTAGAGGCTATGACCAATAATTTCGGGTCAGTTTTCACTCAGGAGCCTCTTCTAGATGAAGAAGTAAGCCCAAATACAAAGTCAACAAGCCGTCTGCCTACTGTGAACTTTGGTCCAAGCGATGTACTTTAGACACGGAAAAGTCAACAGGACCGGATGAACTACACCCCAAAATTCTCAGGAAAATTGCATAATATGATGCAACCCCACCAACTGTGATATTGAATATGTCACAGGGCCAAGGTGTGTTACATATGGACTGGAAGAATGCAACCGTCCCTCCCATACACAAAGCACTACCAAGAAAACTTCCATCGAACTACAGACATATCAACCTAACCAGTGTCGTAGTTGGAGTACTAGAAAGAATAGTCAAAAAGATCATCAAGTTAGATACTATTATGTTCACCACAGTATACGCAACCATAAGGAGAACTAAGCTTGAAAACTGAGTTCAGGCAGCAAGCTCCCGTTTAAAAGGCAACTAGGATATCCTGGTAAATGTACAGAGGGCAGCTACCCGTGTAATTTCGAAACTCCATGGTTTACTATACAAAGAGCGGCTTGAAAAGCTAGACCTCTTTTCACCGTCCTGTCGCAGATTAAGAGGTGAACTGATTTTGATGTATAGAATACTAAGAAATGATTTTTGACTCAATAAATACTCTCTTTTTTCTCACCAGATTGGGGCATCTCAGGAGACATAGCGGGCGAGTAGAAAAGCCAAGAACGAACAAAACACCCATGGTATATAGGTTTTCACACCGAGTCATTAATTCTTGGAACCTCTTACCCGAAGCAGTGGTGTCCGTACCTTCAAATGACTCATTCAATGGAGTGCTAGGTACTCACAGAAGCATACTACAAAAGGAATAACATAGGCCGTAACCCTTTTGTCCTTATTACACAAATCTGAGATCTGAATTGGACATTCATTCCATATGCTGAATGAAATCTGAATATATTGGAGACTAAGGGATTCTATTCAGTTAAACTTTAAATAAAAACTAAATTTCTGAAGGTGTTAGGAAACCATGAATCGATTGACCACCATTTTATTCCTTGTTTATTCGCTTGTTGGTATACTCGTTTCCTGTGAACCGCTAGGTCTCAGTGGTCTGTTGAGAGTTAGAGTGTAAGGTCTGTTAGTGTGCCCTCAAGATGTCAGACGACTGTTATAAATGTGGACGTCCCGGTCATTATGCTCGTGATTGCCAAGCTGCCCCAAGAGGTGGTGGTAGAGGTGGAGGCGGAGGTTATCGCGGTGGACGAGGCGGTGGTGGTGGAAGAGATCGTGACAATAACGATGGCCGTCGAGGTAAGTGTAGTTTAGACGTTTTGCGGTCTTATAAACAGTATTACAAGTAAATTAGTTATTAGTCATGTGTCACTTAGAAATGTCTCACAGCTAAACGATCAGTTGCGTACGCTTAGTTTTTTATGTTTGCAGACGGCTGTTTCACCTGCGGTGGGCTTGATCATTTTGCTCGAGATTGTACCAGTGGTCGCGGACACTATGGTGGTGGTGGAGGTGGTTACGGGGGATATGGTGGTCGCGGTGAGTTTGATGCGTTCTGCGTAATATCTGAATGCACGTCTGGGCATCGTGTGTAGTTGATGTGTCAGAAGGAGTGTTGCTAGTTGTGTGGTTAGTGTAGATTGTTTTGCGATCCCAATGTTGCAACTGAGTATGCCTAAGTATTTGTTTGTATATTGTAGACAAATGTTACAACTGTGGTGGGACGGGACACTTTGCACGAGATTGTACAAATGATGGACAGCGAGGTGATAGTGGCTATAATGGTGGAGGCGGTGGTGGTGGTGGTCGTTGTTACAATTGTGGTGAGTCAGGTCACATCGTTCGAAACTGCCCAAATAATAACAGAAATGACATGAGCGATACGCTTTGCTACAGGTATTGAATCGATGTGATGTACTGTAACTTTGCTTTAGATGTAATAAATATGGTCACTTCGCGAGAGACTGTACGGAAAGTGGAGGTTCTGGTCCTCAGTGCTATAAGTGCCATGGTTATGGCCATATAGCAAGTCGATGCAATGTGGAGGCGTGAATGAAGTCGTTTGAGATGATGCTCAAAGTCGTAGTGCCCCGGTACACTTTCGCCCTGCACTCACGACAAGGCGAATGCATTAAACTGAAATATAAGCTTCCTGATAAACTTTTTCCCGTTACATTGTTTAGAGGCTTTTGATTTTTTTTGTCTGGAATAATAAGATGTATGGTTTGTGAGATGTGTTGGCTAGCGTATGAAAAACAAGTGTATCAGGTCGCTGGCGTGAATGTCTAATAAAAGCAATTACGATATGCCCAATGGTTATCTTGATATGTGATTTAAGTCATTCAAATGGACTTACGAAGTCTGCCTAAACTAGATTACAACAGTATTTGTTCAAGTAAGATACAGGGTTAAGTCTTGCAGATTACACGTCTCAAGGACTTAGTAGAGTAAGTCATATGGTGGTTAGAAATTGGTCACTTGTACAAACAGGACATCAGACGTTCTGAAGCAAGTCATGGTAAGTGTTCGTCATTACAAGAAAAGCTGCTGTGCGGGATTCGCCGAAATCGGCTCGTCCGGGATTCCAACGCCAAGGTTTCCGGCAGTCTGCTATGGTAGTTTGTATGGTGTGTAACTGGTCAAAATCGTTGGACCGTGCCTATAATAACTGGCTCACAGGATTCGGTACGTGATTTAAGTTGGCCGTACTACATCAAGTCGTCAGGTTGACTAGTGAACAGTCGCCAATTGGTAAGTATATATGTTTTCTAACGGCATGCCTATCAATGGGTGTCCTCCCGTAGGCAGTCTTGGACTTCGTTTAATACATGTGTCGCGTCTATGTTGCGCATATTAGAGATTATGATGCTCTCTAACTATCTCTTGATAACTGATAGGTCTAATCCTCGCCCTGTCGAGTTACACTCATCGTCTCTTGATTTCGTTTGTAACTAGCGTTCGTGTTCGATTCTATTCGACACGATTTTGACTGCAAATATAGTTCGAAGAATTGTTTAGAAGTATGCAGTCTTGTATGTCATTGTCAAATCAATTGCTCGGCAGTTACAAAACTAGTGATAGGCGTGTTTACAAACATACCTTGTCCATTTATGGATGTGATCCTATTTGTAATGTATTGAGGTTCTGTTTAAAGTCAGAATCCTTCATTTCATTTGCAGTTGACTACTACACGTAATTTTATTTTATCAGAATTCTGTATGGTGCTCGAATCTCGTTGTGTACCAGATTAGTTTCTCACGTGCAGCTATCCAAAGTTTACGTTAGACTACAGGTGAGCGATATTCCCGTTGAGGTTCTATATGGCGGGAACGCTAGCTAAATGGAGTCTTTTGACCACTTTGAGCAACATTGCAACGATGTTCGTGATGCTATTCTCCTCGTTAAGATGCAAAATGTTGCTTTAGGATTGAGTTGCAGCGGCATCTGAACCAATTACAGGGAGAGAAGTAGTTGGGCTTGTCAACCACTTAACTTATCTTGGGAGTCCCTTGTGATGTAGTGTGCGACGAGATCTTTGTGTGGATACACGATGCTCGACTAGCTTTTACCAACTTGCGAAATTTATGGCGTAGGCTAGATATCCGTCGACAAACCAAAGGACGGGTTTACTGCGCAGCAGTTCGATCCGTACTAATGTACATAATTGTGAAACAGTCGGTAAGGGTACAGGATATTCGAAGGCTCATAGTATTCGTTCATAGATGTCACTGGAGCATTGCTTATATGTCCTGGAACCACCGAGTAAGTAATGCATTTGTTAGGTGGGGTTGGCAATTCAATCAATGCGACAGTGGAAGTTCATTTGAGATTACTAGGACATGTGTTACCTATGCCCAACTACCGACCCAGGACGGCACGTCTAGATCGCTTGCATTGTGCAGGCGCATGCACTCTGTGTTTTCCCAAATCTTCATATCCTTCCCAAGTTTGTTTCAATGGTTTATACTCCTTGAATAACATCCTCAAACCATAATGTTCTCCATTGCAACATCTACCACTATGAGATTTGAATCGTCAATTGCGTCTCTTGTGTGATATGATAACTCGAACTGATGTGCGTATATACGAAGTTCTACATTGTTGCTGACTGATTGGAGGATTCTTAGTAATCAATTGGTACGGCTAGTAGTACTCGGGAGTGTTCATGTTGTATTAGTAGAGAAATTTTGGAATACGTCATTGGAAATCCGTGCTCATACTAAGCCATTAGTGGAATTCCTTTCTAGTGCTTAAGGTTTTCTTTTGACGTATACGTAGTATAATTAATGCCTGCTGTATCATCCTGAGGTTTCAGTTTTCATGGAACCTTGTTCGTGTTGTTGACTTGAGAAGTAGCTTTTCCAAACTTGCTGTCACGGGATGACAATTATTAAGAGAGATTGACGATTTTCCCATCACAGTTCATATTGTTACCTGACGGATGTACGTCGTTTTTAATTAGGTACTGATCAGTATGCCTAAGATTGATACACTTACCGTTTCATAATCAATGTATTAATAGCAGAATGGACTAACACATTGCTCAAGGAAGCGAAGTCGCCATAAGACTCGAACATCAGCCCTCGATGTAGTTTGACTTGGACACCTGTAGTTGTGTTATGCAAGTGAAAGGATAAAGGTTGGTTGCAAAGTTTACTACGTTGCTGATCATTGTAATCCAGCTAGGGGAAACTTGATTCTGTGGTCTTAAATACGCGTTTGGATATGTAAACTGACAGTAGATAACTTACCAACTTCAAAGTCAAACTGTTTTGCTATTATGAGAAAGTTGAGCTACTTTTGTCTCGTAGCTGGGATCATACCATACAACCAATTCATTTAACACAGAACAATTGAGAGTCGGGACGATATTGTTTAAGCTTCTTTCAGTCAGGATTATTACATCCAGTCCTCTTTCATTATATGAAGTATTTGTTGGTAAAGCTGGTACATCTTTTTTTAGCTAGGATTGTTGTTAAATCTCAGTAACAAGTTAGCCGAATAATGTGCAGCATATCAACTTCCCTATAAATTTTTTCTGGGCATAATTGTTTACACCTTCATGTTTCCATGTGTGTATATGATGATTACTCGTGCCTACCGGTCGTCATGAATTGTTCCACGACGAGGTTCTGATAAAGTTGTTCTTACCAAGCTAATGATTAAATTGACCATTTAGATGAGGTGAAGGTTATCGTGTCATAATTCACTTATCCTATGTTTGAAAATCCTAGTCTCCCTTCAACTAGTCGACTCAGCTACGAAAGAAACTTCGTGTTCAACCTTTGAATAAAGTTCTGCATCCTAAGTGGAATGGGAAATGTCTACTGGACGTCGTACTCAGGGAACATAAACTAATTTATGAACTCGAGCTAGTCAATACCCTGCATAACAAAACGTGAAGGCATTCCGGATAATTGTCGACTCAATAATGCCCACTAAAATGTACTTATATGTAATCATATGCTCACCACATAAACTCTGGATTTTGCGTTTGAATTGACTTTCATCTAAGTGCTACTTAAAAATTATGGATTGATTGCAGTTGTCGCTCTGTTATGATTATCAGCTGGAACAGTCAGATTTTGTTAATTCCATATGTTGGACTACAATCCTTTTGCTGGGGTTTACGTCTGACAATGAAGCTTTATGTTATGCATGACCTGATTTGCATCCCTACGTTATTGGATTCAGTATTCACTATGCTACGTTAGAACTTTGAATAACTCAAGTCCATTAGTTTGAAATCGCTGCTGTTAATAATTTAAAATTCAAAATATTTTCATTGAAGCTTTTGCTTATGTTGTTTCTTTTCAACTAGATGTTGCCATCTAAAGTGATACTCAACCACTGGTTTATATATCCGTTGTTAAATTTAGTTGTCCAGATCAACAAACATCAGAAGTAATGAAATAACTGGACACTGACCAAGCGCCGTTCAACCTAATCACGAGCGATGCACGTTACTGTAAAATAGGTTTGTAATCACAAGACAAACCAAAAGGAATAGATAACACAATAGTGTGGGACTTCAGTTGTTGCTGATTCACTCATTAGCTCTAACACCAGTTTCCCACTCAGTCCCGCTAGTTTTCACTTTTTGGGACGTATGTTCGTGTATTCCCTTTTCCGTTTCCTTGATTTCATTAATTAGAATTCCATTTAGTCAAACGCATTGACAAAAAATTAGCTGAATTTACACTGAAACCAATTATTGCAATAAACGTTCATTTGACAAGATGTATTGTTTTTGCTTATTTATGTACTTACAGTCCTCTTGAAGCCCAGAGCAAGCTTGGCGAATAAGAGCATACGTAGTTCTTATTTCTGATACAAAATAAATGTTAGGAAATAAGTTCATGGGGACACTTCGAGTTTTCTGACATTCGTGACCTAGTGTTGTGATTTCAGTTGCGTGTTGAATCGCAGTAAATCATGTGATTTATTATCACAGGGATGAAGGATACTTAGTGCTACTTTTGCAAAGGGATAATTTGTTAGGTTTAAATAAGTCCACTTGTTAATGAGGCTTAAACGGAAGTCAATTCACTGACAAGGTGTGAAGCACTGGATGAAATAGAGGTGTATGTTGATGTTTACAGCAATCAATCTGTAACTATAAATCACCCGATTTCTGAAATCCCAGCGTTTCGTTGTGTTAGAAATGTCTACGAGCATCCGGTTACTAGCGTTCGAAAGAAATAGTTTCCGAAAAGCTACACGATTAGTATTTTAATGGGAGGGTGCGAGTGATAGCAATAGAGATTGAGACTCGCATTAAATTAGATTTCAAGAGCTTTTCTTTCGTACTGTCAATAGACAGTAGTAGATGGCCATGGCTTAAAGGTCAGTTATTCTGTTGCTGGCATGGAATTTGATGATGGAGTCGCTTAAGACTTCAGTTGCAATAAAGCGTACTGACGATACTTCCATTTTTGGTAAAGTAAACTAAACACAGGACGCTGCCTATTCGCAGGTCTCAACAAGTTCAATTTAAGGGCTGGTACTTAAGGCGATCTCTCTAGAAAGCGATCGTGACTTTATTCAAGGAAACAACAATGCAGACGGATACGTTGACCTACTATCATCCTCTTATCGTATGTTAAAACCTTTAATCTCTTAGGCGTGATTTGTCATGTGTATATCTGATTTGCAGTGGGTCACTGTTCGGGCGTTCAACACTGTTCTTGTCTACAATGTCAAATGTTCTGGAAATAAAAGTCTAAGATCGTTGTAAACAGCTCCATAAGGAATGCTTTTTTGATCGCTAAGCTCTGTATTCTTGCCGATAGCTCGTTCTATAAATGTGATTTATCTACTCTGAAGAAGTGGCTTACACTAAGTCACGAGACGTCAGATATATAATTTTCCTACTCATCGGGATATAACAAAAATATTATTGACTTTCTACCCGATGCATAATTTATTTAAAACTATCACGTTCAATCTAGGCGTTAATGCCTATAAACCCATTACCAATCAAAATATGAGTGTTTATGATGCTTCCGATACTCCTGACACAATGGTATCTGTTAAGCGCTAACATGATAGTCTTCTCCAGACAAATAAAAAAAAAACGACAGTTGTCCTATCATCTTATCCATGAGAAAATACAGATCTGTGGAGTTATCCATCGCTTAACGCTTGTTAATTGTACCTCATAACTGAATACTCGACCACTTACCAACAAAAACTTCCCTATCTGTATAAGTTATGCTATAATCATGAAATGCTGACCAAAAAATATACATATTGAGGACTAATGACTGACTACTGTATATGAATAAGCCAATTTTAGTTATATATATTGTATTGCTTCAACTATTTCCTCTATACTTTAATAATGCTTGTAATGGTTATATGCAAAACTGCACACGCTATCGGCAGAAAAAAAACAGACAAATTGAAGAGATTTAGTTTTTTATTTAAATGAAATTGTATGACTCTGGCATTCGTTATACATTGTTTGACATATATATATTTATTGATTATTGTTGTTCTTATGCAAAGAGATAGATACAAACAAATGAAACCATATATATGAATATATTAACTGACTTGACTGAGACTGATCAGCTTGAAAGATACAGTCATCATTATCAACCATAAACAAACAAAAGGAAAACAAAACTATAATCAAGGGATTTGTGAAATGCTGTTTTGAACATTGAAAGAATGTTTATTATATTCAGATGAACTGATAAACAAGTTGAACACGTGTAGCATCAACATTTAATAGTGGTCGAGTAGCAGATGAAAAGTCACCACTGGAATGAGGATATATATATATATATATTGCTACAAGGGGGTACAGAATAACTAAACATTGTGAAAAATAAAATGCATGAATAAAAGTCAAAAGCAAGTCACAAGTAAATTTTGTTTAAAAAAACGTTAAAAACATCAACAATAATGGAAGAACAGTAAGACAAAAAAGAAATCATGTGATGCATATCAGTAAATTAGGTAATAACAAATCACTAGTTATCAGTTGCCTATCACTAGTAGACAACACAGTAGTCATCGTGGAAGACTGTACATGTTTGAAGGAAAAAAACAGTGGAAAAGTTAGATAAAGAAATAGTTATTGCAAAGTAGTCGTCGTCATGATCAGCTGATGTATGTGTTTGTGAGAGAGAAGAAAAAGCGGTTCCAAAACACCTCGTTTATGGCCATTTCATTCTCCTTCTCTTTATGTATTTGTGTACATTGTAATAAAATGGTGATCTCATGAGAAAAGACTACGTCGGCGATCTTCAAATCGACCTTGAGAAGAGAAAATTAAGTATAGTGTGATTGAACCATGTATAAAATCGAGCGAGAGATTTCAATTCCAAGCTAAAGTGGAACACTGAAGTCTCGTATCAGTGAATTATTTAAAAACGGACTAATCAATCAAGACAGTGCATCCCAATTATTATCGATACAATTATGGAATCTATATGCATTGAAAAGTGTTTATGAGTTGATGACTGGGTCCCTAATTTTTTACATACACATGAATTTTAACTCGATATCCGTCCGACAAAGTGTATACGATATTGTTATATTTATATTACTCTCTTAGCAGAAATGTCGTCTAATTGTAATTGATACATAATCGGTGTCGTTTTTAACCCTGAAGAGATGATTGGTTAAGTTTGGGAATGTGAAATCTTAACCTTACCTCCAATTAACAAGGGAATATATATTTTAATGTTTTACTGCATTTATATCTTAAAGAAGCTATTCACTTCAGTTGAGGCATTTGGGCAGCCTGTCGCAGTTGTTGACTCAAATAGATTATATTGCAAGCATGTACATATATGTTTAGGACCCTTTTTATATTTTGGAAGATATCTTCATAAATTTCAACCATGCGACAAACGCATCTTGGACGATCAGATAATTTATTATACTAAATCGATTAGTGTAATCGGATATCAAAAAGAGATAACTCTAAAGCTAGCTACCAACCTATTGGAAAACACAGAAAAGCATCTTTCTCACAAAAAGAAAGTAGCAAGTAATATCTTGTTAGGAAACTGTATTTTAAAGAGCGGTATATATGAGTACCAATATACATATACGACAAGCCCGGAAAAAAAGTATCTAAAAGATTGAAGGCATATAACCATCTCATTTTATTTGTTCTAAACAAGCGATGTTGTCCGGCATTTGTACATTCTTAGTCGATGACGGCAGTACGAGAATAGGGTTTAAAGAGTGGAGGTGTTTTTGGTCAGTCAGTCACAACATAAAACCTGTACGTATATGCACCCCTTCAGGTTACCGCACCCCATTTACCACAGAGAGATGAAATTATCAGGCCAAATCCCACAGTAGTTGAGATAGTAACAGTATCACTGGTAATAGAAGAGATTAGGCATCGAAGATAAGATTCAAGAAGAAATACAAATTAGTGAGATGAGAAAAGTTATGAAGAATTCATAATCTCATGCTTTGGTAGAAGACTAATAATGGATGCACCGTTATTTAAAACGATTTTGAACAATGTCGTCTAAGGTCTCTGAATGTTGGTTACGATGATCATGCTGACCCCAACGAGATAGTCCATACCTGTTAACGTAATTACTTACGCCTGTTACTCCCAATGGAGTATAGGCCGCCGACTATCATTCTCTAAACCACTCTGTTCTTAGCTTTCCTTTCTAGTTTTATCCAATTGCTGTTCATTCTTCTCATGTCTGTCTCCATTTCTCGGCGTAATGTGTTCTTTGGTCTTCCTCTTCTCCTCCTTTGGCCTTGAGGATTCCATGTGAGGGCTTGCCTTGTGAAGCACTTGGGTGCTTTCCTCAATGTGTGTACTATCCACTTACAGCGCTTCTTCCTGATTTCTGCCTCCGATTGGAATCTGGTTTGTTCTCACCCACAGTCGGTTGTTGCTGATAGTATCTGGAAAACGGATTCGAAGTATTTTGAGCAAACAACTGTTAATAAACACTTCTCCAAGTCTCCGCCCCATACAGTAGAACTATCTTGATATTTGTATTGAAAATTCTGACTTTGGTGTTGGTTGATAGTTGTCTTCATATCTGGTGTTGTCCATCCCAACTTTGGTATTTACGTCTCCTATCAGAATGGTCAAGTTCTTTGTTCGGTATTTTTCAACGACTGACTGCAGCTTATCGTATAATTGATCTCCAATTTCTTCATTGTAATCGTTTGTAGGCGCATAGCATTGGATGACGTTCATTGTAATGCCCTCTTGCTTTTTTTTTAAGGAGCCCTTGATGGTCCTGTGTCCATGAGATTCCACCTATTAACGTGGCCCAATATAATTATCGATGATTATATGGACTGATGCCACGTTTTGTTTTGGCTACTCCTAGCTTTCTTCCAACTTGCTTCTACACCAGAAAAAACACCACTCGTCAAGGTACGGAGTGGCTAAGGATACGTAACACATATCCTGACTATCTCAGTTGATGATGATTTACTACCTCATCAATCGATTTACCATTTTTATCTAGTACTCGATTCCTAACCCAGGCATTGCTTACTGGGTGGTCCCAAAATACACTAGTACTCCGAAGAAACTTATGATCGAATATCAGTAACCAACAAATGTCTTCCATTCGTAATGACCATGTTTCACACGCATAAAGAAGAACGGGGCGAACTGCTGCGCAACAAACTCGTCCTTAGGTTAGACGACAGATATCTCACCTACTCCACAAGTGAATTAAGTTGTATTTTCTCGAATCTTTTCTTCTATGTCTAATCTCTTCTATTACCAGTGATACTGTTACTATCTCAACTACTGTGGGATTTGGCCTGATAATTTCATCTCTCTGTGGTAATGGGGTATGGCAACTTGAACCGATGTATATACGTACAGACTATACGTTGCAAATGAGTGACTGACACTAAGTCTCTAAAGAATATTTTTCAACGAAGGAATCCTTGTCAATGAGTGCAATTTCAAAGCTGCAATAAACATACATATACGGCCGTAAGGCTTTGGAAATGAAACTCATCGAAAAGAAATCACTATTTCATTCTATTAATTGCTTTCCACATGAGAATTTATCTGAAAGCGAGAGGCTAACTGTGAAAAGAACAGTACATTATATCTCACCTGAAGATTGTCGTCCAATATTTAACCAATTAGAACGGTTTACTGTTTGTGGTTTATAAACAACAGTGGTAGCATTATTACTATTTTCATTATTATTATTATTATTATTATTATTATTATTATTATTATTATTATTATTATTATTATTAATTGATGTAGTGCAATTTGTTACATCCAACCCTATTATTGTTGATCCTATGACTGGTTTGATTTGATACTGATCATTGAATTTCGTTGGGCCAAGCACGAGATTCGAATTGATAAATGATCTTGAATTCGATATAGAAGGGAGAGGATAATTTGATTCGAACGCTGTTGAATATGGTCGACAAGATGCATTGTTATTATTATTATTATTATTATTATTATTACTAGTAGTATTGTTAGCAGTAGTGTTTCCGCGGTATTATTAAAATATACTTGTAAAGCACACATAGAATTCGATGAGATAGACTGGTGCGGAGGAGGAGGCGGGGGATGTATATTACTAATTTCACAATGATATTTAGGAAAGAAATGATTATTATTGCTGTTGTTATTATTACTATTGTTATTATTATTATTAGTAGTAGTATTGATATTGTTAGTATAACTTTGGAATTGAGACGCTATCATCTTAACATTATTGCAATTTGATAAACCGGACATTTGATTACGATAATAATCATGATTATTTCGATGTTTCATTAAATTATTCATTTCAATTTGTGAATGACGATGATGAGGATTAACTTTTAATTGTGAATTTGTACATCTTACAATATTATTATTATTATATCCATTATTTGAAGAGAAATAGCTTGAGGTACTCATACGATTTGTCGGTAGACTGGCACTACGTCCAGGATCACATGCTAATCGTACACCTGGAACATCGAATACACTTGAATCTGCTGATAAACTATTAAATGTATGAAATGGAAACCGGGAAGAATCAATAAAATATTCATGTTTCAAAGCTTTTATAGCAGAGATTCGTTGAATTCCAGGAAAAACTAATAATTCTGCCATTAAACGATGTGCACGACGTGATAAACGTGGAGTTAAATGTGGAAGACCCCCTGGTTCACCAGGATATGGACCGTATTTAAGCGATTTACTATAATCTGGATGGCTGGTAACTCCTGGCCAATTCGTTTCATTTGGAGTACCTATAATGACAATAAATATAAGCAAATTATGACTAAAATAATAAATAAATTGTATTTCAAATAAACATACAAGAAAATAGCGGTATTCACTCTGCTTTCCATAAATTCATTCTTTAACATGACTGCGAGTAACATCATTGATTAATACATAAATAAAATAATGATTATTATTAGTAATCTCTAATTCTATTTGATGAACAATTTGTTAATAAACTATGAGAAAGTGTTTTATAAGCAAATAATAGCTTAGCCGTCGCGCGCTAGACCATGGAAGTACAGCCGCTTGACGCAATGTGGAACAAGTCCTCGGGCGTTGCTAGCTGCACGATTGCTAGTTGGTAACTTGCCCCCAAATGCCCTGGTACGGTCGAGAGTGGGGAGAGTCCACTCTCCCTCTCGAAATGCTCTCACATGGCCACGCGTACATAGCCTCTGCCAGGGAAGTCCTACTCACTGCCTTCTCGCACCACGAGTGTTGTTTACGAGAATGAGAGGAAGAAAAGCGAATATCCGGCGCTTTAACCGGATTCCAAACGAATGGTGCATATGGGTTCCAGTATCCTGCAGGGACAAATGGCGTATGAAACAATTGTTGGTCACCGGCTTCCATGGGACTGCATCTCCTTACGATGTTCCACATCCTTGTGGATCAAACCTTCAGGTCGAAGGCTCCGGGTGTGGCCCCTAAGAAAATCACCTGCTTCGGTTTGGGCACCCGTGCAGTATCACAACCCTCACACATATCGAATGAGATTTGTGTGGCGCATATGTATTCGGTGCCTCATTGTACCAATATCTATGTGTTGAAATAAATAAATAATAACTTGTGTGATATAAGTGTTTAATATTGTGAACAAAATTTGATAAGATGATTTTGTTTCAAATAGTTACACTCATCAATCATGTGTTGATACTACTTAGTTGGATTACACACACAAGTACGTTGTTGTGTGACGATTAAAATGTTATTATAACTACACGATTGCCCAAAATGAAAGAAATCTGGACCGGTTTAAGTATTATCAATTTTATCTTATCGGCATAGGGGGTTGTGGAGATTGTTGAGTTTAGATTGATATCATGAATGGATCAATGTTAGACCACCATTAAAGCCTGACAGTATCAGACGACCGTTTCGTCCTAGTATGGGACTGTCGGATGTCAGCTCAGTAGCCTAGAGGTTGAGCATGAGCGTGCGAGACCGAAGGTCCTTGGTTCGAGCCCCGCGCGTGGGATCGTGGATGCGCACCGCTGGGGAGTCCCATACTAGAACGAAACAGCCGTCCGATACTCCCAGGTCTTTAATGATGGTCTATCATTGATCCATTCATGATATCAATCTAAATTTTATCTTAGCCAATACAAATTCCGCAGAAGTAAACAGTAGGAGTTAATGGCATACATATGTTTAGACTTTAGTTAATTGATATTGGATAAGGTTTACGATATTACTACGAATTGACTGGGATTACAAAATGTCGTCTAATGGATTCCAAATAAATGAAATCATGATATGGTGTGCCTGATGGAAAGTAAGACGAAATAACTGCCTAATATTTCGTAAATTTGATTATGATTGAAAGCTAATTTAGAAGTAACTGTTTAAAAACACCTAAATCCATATTATTAATTGGTGAGTGTTTGTTGATATTCAGGACTGTGAACGATGTATTTCTGTTTGAACTGGGCGAATAGCCTCGATATCACCTCTTTTTTTATCAAAGTTCTAAATAGATATGAATTGCGGCTAAAAGTGGAAGTTAAAGAAGGAAGTTTCGTCCTATCTGAAGCTCTTTAATTGGATATATCTGCATCCTATCGTTGACGTTCACACACTCGAGCTCACAGTCTATCGCTTCAAATCCTGACGCATTATCCCCTAATCTACCGAGTTCAGATAGTCACTAACTTTTTCAACGGTATGAGTGTTAGCAGATGGTTATATTTATCAGATGTACCTAGAACCAGGTAGATTTGGAATGTGACTAATCGATAAAAAGAATAGATATAACTTTAAACCAATCAAGTCAAAGTCATCAGCCCACTTACTTTATCCCTCTTCTCTGTCAATTGTGACCTACGAAACATGAATTATAAAAGCCATTTCAAAAGGTTCATAATGAAACAAAATTATTGTGACTTAAATGGACAATAATTTAACTAAAGGTCACCGGAACGAAAGAGTTGAAAGACACAAAGAAATTTGGTTCACCTCTATCTCACTCTCACTTCAGTTATGAACATACAATTCTGATTCTCATACACTTTATGTTACTTATTTTTGATTGAACTTATGGGTACTTTTTCCACGCATGTAGGATAAAAAACCTCATAAGCTAATTCACAATGTCCTAAATATACAACACACTTCAAAATGTTTATGTGTTAAGGTTTATCTCAAGAGAACTAAATGACTGGACAAACTGAAAGTTTTTCTGACAGTCTAATAAAACGGTTATTTTGTTCTAGTACAAGACTTCACTGTGCTCGATTCACGGAGGGGTCGCGATCTCAAGCTGTTCAGCGGTCCAATACCAGTAATAAAACGTTGTCTAATGCTGTTGCCTAGTTTTATAATGATGCTTTCAATTGAGATTCATCCGTAACGAGTATCAACTACAAATTCAAATAAGCGTAACAAAGGTCCTTCATCAGAAATGAAACAGTTATCGAATGTCGTTGGTGTTCATGTTTAAGATTTAGTTTTTAATATATTGACTTGCGAAAATGTTATATCTCGGTGAAGATTAAATTACAGGTAACTTCCAAGGACTATTAATGGACTAATATCCTATAAATATTCTCATTTTATAACTATTCAACAATTACATTATGTATATTTATACTCCTATTATAAGCTTTATTTTGACCTATATTTTATTATTGTACGATTTATGGTTCTTAAGCTGTGCTCAGGCTATTAATTACTGTCCCCCTCGTTCACAGCCACTTTTTGGCTTATTTGTGTACACATGTTATTTTCTATTTTATGGTACGTTGTGGTCTGTCTGATTGATATATAAACCGAGTATGTCTGAAATAAACGATTCGATTCATATTACAGAAGCTGGTATTGTGTTCTGGACTCAAGTGGAAGGATTAGGAGGACATAAGACCAATCAGGACGCTAAACTGCTCATACCGGTTGAACGTCATTGGTCTGACTGGTCTATAAGTCGCGTGATAGAAAGCCAGACATCGAGGTCATAACAGCAAACTATCCTGAAAAGTGCATAAGTGTGCATAAACAAAACTGTATAGAAAAGAAATTGAAATGTTCATAGGAAATAAACATTTATTTGACCTTATGTGTATTTTATTATCAAGACTAATGTTGACCCAAGAGATGATTGGTTATATACATTTATATCGACGTTATCACTCGCATGACTAATATGATTTGTTCAAGTACTTTTATAGTAGTAGTAAATATTAACTGGGAATAATGTCTACAAAAAAGTCATATAAGTGATGTATCGACAGATATGTTGGATAACAGAAAAGTCTACCGCTACTACTACTACTACATGTTAGCCGATTTCTATATCCCGGTGAAGAAACCTCAACATCTTTGTGATATTGTCACTTATCATTAAAAACTTTATAATTAAAAAAGATCTAGATTAAGGAAATTTCCTATAGTTCATAACAAGCCTCTATTTTAAAAGGTGCATCAGATCGCTCCCAGAAATTCTGTAAGCTTCTGGCGGCAGCTTTAAGAAGTCAGATCTTTTTATACTATCTCCCGATGGACTAAGAGATAACTTGATAATGATTTATAGGGTGTTAAGAAACTCTACTTGAACCTGATACATTCTTTTTTCTTACAACTAGGTGAGAACAACTTGAAGAACGCAGCAGGAGAATAAAAAAGTAGAAAATAAATAAAATTTCCGTGGTATACAGGTTTTCCTACCAAGTAATCGATTCTCAGAGCTAAATAACAAAAGTGATGTCAAAGATATTATGTTCACTGAGCTGAATGGTTTAATTACGAAGTTTTCATTGTCGTTCTGGACATACTTGGAGTTCACTTCTACTTGAGATGTAGACACTGATGATTTTAGCTAGCACGGCAGAGAAAAGCTTCACAATTAAACCGTCGTCAACCTCAGATAATTTCTCACAGAAAACTCGAAAAACTTTATTTATAGAAAACCCAGATACAATGTACAAATGAGAAATTCTCAATATTGAATTGTGACGACCAATAAACAAAACCTTATTATTGACTATCTACACTCATGGTAGTGTAAAATTTGTTCACTAGACTACCTAAAAAATAAACTAACTACTTTGAAATCAGTCTTTAGGAAAATAGGTAACCATAACGGTTTATTAGGGAAAACATATTATTTCATCAGTTAAAGGGTGATTTATTTATGGTTATTAATGACGTGAGAATTCTAGACATTTATAAAGAAATGGTACTAAATTTAGTGATACCTTAGATTCTGAATCGACCACACTGGTAGAATAATATATGTATATCTAAAACAATTAGTTTCTTTGATAAATTTCGATAATGCAATGAGAAGACGAATTTTATCAGAATTATGTGATATATTTGCGCAATACATTTCGAACAATCTGATCATACATATACTTGTTAAGAACATTTGTTTATGAAAAATTAAAAGGTCAACTAGACAGGTTAAGGGTAAGTCATAACAAAGGAAAAAATATTAAAGTACACAAAAACAAATGTGATTACCACTCTGGACAGTAAATCAGTACTACCAGGGTAGGTTAAGTGTAAGTACAAATTGTTTTTGAACACATAAAGGGGGTTTCAATTTTCGTATAGCCAAGGCTTCAATAAACCTTAGTATACGTCCTTGAAGGCTTTTGTACAACACAACAAATGATGATTTGATATCAACCTTATGACCCGTCTCAATCAAATGTTTCGCAATGGATGATGATGTCTGTCTATCCTGTGGTCTTATTTCACCATTGGAATTCATCTGATTTCGCAACCATTTTGGTATATGTTCACCCACCCTTAATTGCAAATCACGATTGCTCCTCCCTACGTACGTGTTTCCACACATACATGTAAATTTATAGACACAATGGGATGTGACACAATCGTTTTCATGCTGTTTGGGCTTTTGGTGAAACATAGACCTTGTCTTTTCGATAATGACAAGTTGGGCTGCATAAAATGTCCGGTTGATAGCTAATTTAAGTCTCTGTTTCAACATGAGACTATTCGTGTCACCTCTGAATGGTAGCGTAATATAAACTCGCTTTTTGGGTGCCAGAAGCATCATAGGTCTAGTCATATTGCAACCCTTCCAGCGGTTTATGAACTTCAAAGGGTAACCATTATTGAATAACGCATCAGTCAGGAGCTTCATCTCTACTTCAATAGTATCACTAGTACAAATACGATTGATTCTATTGAATAAGCTCTTTAGTATAAGTCCTTGAAGGCTTTTACATAACACTACAAATGCTGACTTGATGTTAACCTTATGACCAGTCTCAATCAAATGTTTCGCAATGGAGGATAATGTCTGTGATCATATTGTTTGAAATGTATTGCGTAAACATGACACATAATTCTGATAAACTTCGTCTTCTCATTGCATTATCGAAATATATATTATTTGAGATTTCCTCATATCACTGATATGATAAAAAATTGTCTGTGAGCATTTTTCAGTTTCCTGATTATTTTTTTTTTAGGAGAATTCCGATATAGTTCTTAACACTTTTATTTTGAGGAAAAGAGTTTGATAATATAAAAGTTTATTGAAATTCACTTGAATTTGTTTTAACTGATTTACAACTATGGTACATTTTGCAGTTTTTGTGTATTCTTTAGTGTGGTTTTCTATGTAGTTTCTACACAAATGGAACGTAACCATCAAAATATCAAATGAATGAACCAGTAAAGAATTTTATATGTTTGTTCTCCTGTAGTCTCCAGATCTAATTTCGATCCAGCGTTAATGTTCCCAATCTTATACACACTACACTAAGCACTTCCTGATTCCTGAAGTTTTACTCCATTGGCTAATATGAACTGGGAAGACGATTTTAAAAAAATCGCAGTATCGGGTCGACGTCTCATGTCAATCTACGACTCTTCTTTATTGTAGATGTATAACCTTCTGCCTATCAACAGGATCAAATCATTGGATTATTCAGTCATTGATATAAGACAACTACTAGTCAAATCATGTATAGTACTTCACAACAAAATAATGATATAAATGTATTTCTATAACCAAGTATAAACTCTTACATTTAGTGTCAAGCTACATTTGGCGTATAAACACTGGTAATTACCAATTGTAGAAAGTTTACGGTTTGTACCAGGATATATTTGAATGCTAAGTGGTTAAATAAAAAAACTACCGTGTTAGGTGGTCAGTCTTATATAATAACTCATTCATTATTAGCCCATAGATTAACTTTGAACAAGTGATTGGAATTTCTAACCTATCCCTCTTTTGAAAGTTGAGTATAATACTTCAAACACTAAGAATAATGTCATATATTACTAATTTATATGCATATTAATTTGTGCTTCACAACAGTTAAAACAACAGTATTGAATTCTTAATATTTAAACAAAAAAAATTACATTAGCAAAGGTTTGTAGTTTCCTGTTATTGATATTCAGGACTGTAATCGATTAAGATGAATATAGTACAGTGGAAACTTATCGTTAAGAGTCTCGAAAGTGTAATGTCTTGCTGATACCTCTTCATTTATACTCGTTGAACAATTCAGTGGCCATTTGGATTTGGTGGATAACGTGTTAGTGTTTGGATTGAAAGGTAGTGAGTTTGAGTTTTAATGTGAACATGAACACTGATATGCAGATATATCCAAGTGATGAGTTCCAAATACGATGAAACACACATCCTATATTCCGCACGGCTAGATGCAAAAAACGTGCTTGAAAGAAATACCCCACATACATACTATTTAATAGCGTACATATGATATATATTGATTAATACTAAATAACAATAATAGTAATAACAAGTACAATCCAGTGGTTACCTAATCGTTTAAAAATCAGTGTCAATTGTTCTTCTACAGTAGAGCCAGGAAAAAGTGGCCAACCAGTAGCCATTTCATAGAATATACAACCGACGCCCCACATATCAATATGAGTAGAATATTCCGTTGAACCTAACAAAATATCTGGTGGTCTGTACCTGGACAGGAGAAAAAAGCATTGATACAAATGAATAAAATACATGAAAAGTAGCGAAGCATGTTAGAAGAAAAATCTAGAAGCAGTCAAACCAAGATACCGTTACATCAGTTCATAAAGTCAATGACAGGTGAATTGAATCAAATGAAGTAGGTACAAACTATCCAGTTTGACGCCCACGCAATAACTAATTAATCGGTTGATGTTCAGTTAAAAACGGCGGCCTGCTTGAATATCTGGGCTACCTGTTCCTCCGATCTACATATTTCATCAAGTTATCTGTTTTGTTGTTTGTTTTAGCACATCATTATGTCTATTGTGCACACAATCTATTCAGGCGCGTTTATGAAAAGTTTACAACATTTCGCTATACGGGATACAAAAAGGTACAATCAGCGACATCATGGTGGCCGGCAATATGCATTGAAACGAATGAATATTAATCAAATGTGGACTACCGAACTCTTAACACCTAACTGGTCATCATTCAAAATTTATCGTCACAATCGATCAAGGTATAAGAAAAAGAAACCTGTTGAAATACTTTATGCTGAGAATTCTATGTTGTATCAAAAATATAATGTTGAATAAAGCTTCTAATAATGATAATAATAATAATAATAATGGTTTAAAATTAGTTATAGTGGCCCAGGTTTATCAGTTGCTTATATTCCTCTAAATCTTGATTTCGCATTGTCACTTATTCTTGTTAGTACTTTCTTTTAAATGTGTTTATGCAAGTTGTTCATGGCTGACCAATTGATTAGAATGGGTAGGTAAGTATATATATATATATATATATATATATATATATATATATATATATATATATATAAACTCGGAGCCTAATGGTTGTGAGTTATAACAACCAATTATACAATATGATCCACCTACTAAGAAAAAAAACATATTTGTATCTATGTGATCCTTAAAAGAGACATAGAAAAAACAAACAACTTGAAAGGAAAACACGTAAATAAAAAAATGAGAAAACTTAGAAGATTCAATTAAAGTGCAAATAAATAAGTCAAAATATTCACTGTACCATTTTTAATGGTCATGTGATTCCATGAAATTGAGCAAAACAGAAATATAAAATTCTTTAAAAGGTCATTTATTGTATTAATAAAACAATGAAGAGAAGAAGAAAAAGAACAAACTTGTTATCCATAGCATTAATTAAAATATGAAGAAGGTTTTTTTTTCTTTTCTCTTAAAAGAAATAAAGTATTTTGTAGTGGATGCTAAGAGTTTACACTGAGCTTAGAGATACTAAGAATTTTGTAATTCAAAATAAGAATTTATTTAATTAAAATAATACTTATAACTATGAATCTATATACTATATAGTTGATATGTGATGTTATTGTCTAATAAGTAGTAAAACAGAAATTTAAATGGACTTGCATATTATTGTTTGCCTATTAAATATGTGAACTAAATGATAAAAAACATTTTATCTTACAAGATTTAAATCTAATATGTCAATTATAATCACACTTGACGAAGAACCTATGAAAGAAGTCGAGATATTTCTTGTCCGGAAAAGACAACATTAGCAATAAGCTAATATGGCAGAGAACAAATCAGCTTCCAACTGAAGAGAAAATTAGGAAAAGACTTTGGAGGTGGATAGGACACAACATGGTGGAAGTCATTAAACTGTATCGCGAAGTAAGCTCTAACTTGGAATAATCAAAGAAAGAAAAAGAGGGAGACGAAAGAACACATTACGTCGGGAATAGGAGAAAGACATAAAAATAATGAATAGTACTAGACAAAAACCAGAAAGGAGAGCCCAGGACAGAGTAGATTGGAGAATCCTGGTCGGCGACATATGCTCCACGAGTAAGTAAGTAATAGCACTTATATTATCTTTAGAATATTTTTCTTTTACAGAAATAAATTTGCAGCCATCCCTGGAAGCCCTCAGAAGTCAGAATTTTCAGATGCCTTACAGTTTTACGTTTCACATCGTCTCAATGCTGCTCCCTCTGTCTAAAAATGACCACTTTTAGAGTTTTAAGGATGAAAGGAAATAACAAAAAACTACAGCTAGTTAACAAGACTGATGATCTAGTGTGGCTTTAAACTATATTATTTACATTTATGAGTTAGTGAAACTGTTCAGTTGCCCAAAGTAGAATAAGGTGGAGTAGGGTTTGAACCTGCGGTTTATTCGCTCAAAGTCAACTGATATAGCCGTTAAGTAGCCATTCAAAGTCAATAAACTCTTGGAAACGTTTTCAACGCACACTGAATTTATGATCAATAGTACTAGGTATCTATTTTGAGGAACCAATATGTACGTCTCCGCTTGATCTAACAATTAAGGTCACCTTTAAACTTGATCATTTCTCTGGTACAAAACACGATGAACAACTTTTGTCATTCATCAGTGGTGTTGTTCAGTGAGTTCCTTTTTACGTGACAGGAGACTATTCACAGCTTAAAACATGTGTATGTCACTGACAAGATAAATTTTACGCAGATTTAAATTTATTACGATACATTGGTAAGATTTTTCATATTTATGAAGAAACTTAACATCAATAATGTTTTTAGCCTCTCAAAAAATCATTTCATTTTTCGTGAAGAAAAATCTTTGCAATCCTTATTTATTGATTCAAAGAATTTTCTAGTAGTAACAATAAACAAACATTTTGAAGGGGTTTCAGAGCACATGACACACACACGGTGTTATATATCGAATCTTTCTATATGAAAAAAGGATTTTAAAAAAGCTTATTACCTCTTACTTCGTCTTCGTGTCTTCCTGTGTCTGTGACACTGTATCCAACAAACCACAAAAACAGTAAAAAAATAATTTACCAAAATTATGGAAAACACAAAAATCGTACAATAAAATCACTCAATCACTCAGAAGACTAATTAATTATTCAAATTCATTAAGATGAGGTTTTATATTTTCAATATTTACTAAGTGTATCGTATCCAATATTTTCAATGATTATTTTTGCAGTTTCAATAGTTGAGATCATGAGTCGATTGAAGCTGGACCATCATGGAAAACCTGGAAACACTGAACGACCTTTTCGTCCTATTGTGGGCCTCCTCAGTATTCATTTAATGTATAGAGGTGCTGAGTATATATAATTAGTGAAACTCTCATTAAAGATTCATGCAAATGTACAAGCGTTTGTGTGCGTGTGCATGTACATGTACACGTTAAGGCAACTGTTGATTGTAACTCATCTTTATCATCATCCATTAGAAGTCCAAGTACTACATAGTTCTTAGATATATTGTTCATGCATGATGGCTAATGACACTAACTAGTTGATCAAATTGAAATACATAGACTGGAATTCGAAAGTTACAATCGATTCATATTGAAATTCAAGTGTACTTTAACTGTCATGTCAATTTTATAATTGAATTTTTAATTATTTAAATTCACTTCAAATCATACTCATTTTTTCTAGTTTGATATAAAAAATGGAAATTGATCTACATATTGGATTATTCAAACGGATGTTGCCATCAGTAATTTTCAATTTCTAAGTATAAACAAAGATATTTCAGTATGGGAATTTGTGGAGATTTCAGTATTTTCACAGTTGAATTCATGAGTCGATAGTGGATTTGCACTGTTGATGAGTCCCATACTAGGACGAAACAGTCGCACAGTGCTTCCAAGTTTTCAATGATGGTCTAGCTCAGATTGACTCGTGAATTCAACCGTGAAAATATATCTAAATAAACGAGTTAATTTTTCTTTTGGTTATTCAAATTAGTCTATAAGAAAAATTAAAAATGGTCTATTTCCTGGAATGTTAGTTAAACATAAAAGTTAACTATAAAATTACACAAAAAATAGGAGGAGACAAACAAGTAAGGATTTAGTCAGTCATAATAAACGTAGAGTGTGGTACAAATGTACATTAGCCAAAATTGTCAAACCACATTAACAAGAAAAGTTACAATTAACAAGATGTACTACGAAAGAGTTGAAATTATCATAGCGTCAATGATAGCAAGAACAAATAAATATTGAGAACAAATTATAGGAAACAGAATGTAGGAAGGAATACTAGAATTCAAGATTTAGAGGTGGATGCATCAGATTCAGTAGAACTGATTCTGAACTATGTCACTTAACATCTCCAACTATTAGTTACAATAGTCGTACAGACTGCAGCCACATAGCTCAAATCAACAGTCAATAACTTCACGGACTAATGTCACAGTTTTGGTATGACCACCCTTAATTTTCGTACAATTTACTCTTCTACACCAATAAGGATTGTATTTCGAGGTAGATGGTAGTTTACCATGAGTAATGCATATCTTAAGTAAGGATTGTTTTATATAACATACAGTGGAATTCATGGTGAATATATATATATCATACCCATAGTGATGTATGATTACATGAATAATAGTACATAAACATGATGATAATAATAATTAATAAATCTGATTCGTAGGTAACTTTTAAAGATACATAAACCCACACAATGATCATTCGATATTTCTTAGTATTTTTCAATAATAATAAAACTAATATAAAATATCTTATTTGAACAAATTAAAATTTGATTATGAAGGTCAGTTATCAGAAATGATAACTAACAACTGTGCACAACATATATCAATCAAATATATTGATGTGAATTAGTTATGCAACGATTGAAATAATAATAAATCAGTAAGCATGATAAACATACATGATATTAATTAGTTCTAATGTATTCTAAGATTAGAAGATAAAAAACAATTTTTTTGTATCGGATCATACATGACAGAAAACGATGATGCTACTGAAGTAATTGTGACTCAAAGGTTAGGAAAGGTGGTGCAGAAAATATTTACTGCAGCCAAACAGAATGGGATTTTCTACAACCGTCCCATAATAAATACCGTCAATAAAGACAGACTGTTTGAATTCGCCACATCCATGTGTATTTACCAACTCAACTGTTCCTGTGGAGCTAGTTATATAGGGCGTACAACTCGTCAAGTCTATCATCGCATACCGGAACACCATCCGTCTTGGTTGAGTAAAGGACAGGTAACGGTCATCAAGAGTTCCATCTGTTCTCGCTCACTTGATGGACATAAGACATCAGGTCGACTTGAATAAAGCTTTTAAAGTTATCGACCATATTCCATCAAATTTATCATATGGTTTACGAGTTTGTCTGTTGCATATTAGTGAAGCTATCGTAATCCATGTTCACAAACCTAACCTATGGATCCAAAAGACATTTGTATAACCACTCACGATACTTTGGCCATCGGTATAGGAGTGACCTTTTAGCTGAACTTTGATTAAACCCATTCTTTCAAAAAAGTTTAAACAATTTTCCTATTTCTTCCACTTTTGTCATGTATATATTTTCAACATTCGTCTCTTGATTTTTATATAACTACTATATTACTGACCATTCGCCAAAATATTTTGTTAGTTCTTTTCGTATATTATGCGATGTAGCAACTGTTTAATTTTCTGAATAATTACTTTGAATATCATAACCATCTTCCGTTCAATTACTCAATACTATTTTATAATCGATGTGACATTACATAGTTATTACGTAACGCAACTCTACTCGATGAGTGTCAGTTCATTGTTGTAAATCAAGTATATCTGTGTATCAGTATAGAGCCATGATGAGAAACTAATTGAAAAGAAATCTCTTCACTCAATTTGTTCTTTTTACTAATGTAAAAAAATGAACATTTCAAATAATTGAGTCAGTTAGAAGTTATCTCCCTCTACTCCAGATTTGAATTCATGTTGCTACAAGAATGGAAAATAATCACATATTAGTCAGTCTATTCTGTCATTACTTTAGGCTCCTTAAAAAAATCCATATACACATTGCTATTTTATGGGGGAGGGAGTTGAAGTAAACTAAGAATAGAGTAACATGAACCTATGGTGTAAAATTATTTCTGTAAACTATGATGTTGAGAATCATACGTGATGACCGATCCAACAGCTAATGTTAATACATAATGAAAACGACATTTAAGAGTGTATACTTCGATAGATTGGTTGTGATCTTTATCAAGCAAATATCAGATAACTCGTTTGATTCACAAAATCATTAGTGTCAACTATTATAACGTTGCCAAACAGATTATGTCTAAGTTTTTTCTCTTTTTTTCGAGTCCTTTACTAAGATATAAACTAGACGTTTCCTAACATATAAGACAAATGTCCCACTATGAATGATATGCCCACCTAGCTCTTAGAAGACCAGAATAACAACTTGATAAATCTTCTAAGTGAACGCCTAAATCGGTTTCCTAATCTTTTTTAATAACCCTAAACTAAATCTACATGACAACTTGAACATGAGAGAAAAGACTCGAGCTGCGAAAAGAACGCTTTACTCCAAGGTTGGTTTGTACAGAAAATCGAGGGTATTTATAATATTCCAAATGGCCTTGGGTTTCTGGGAGGTTCTGGAATCGTACTAAACATGGTAGCAGGATAGGTAATTAATCAATCAGGAATGTGATTTGTGAGTTTTCCTTTCTAGATGTTTCTGAGAAACTCCTATTCAACTCTAATTGGATAAAATGTTTCCCAGTGTTTTTAGGACCCCTCTGAACTTTCTCGAGGAATATTTGGATTTCCCCAACACCACTATCCCAGAAATCTTCAAATCAGAGGTTACTATAGAATACTCACAATAAACGTCCGTATGAAATGCTTCCCAAAGTGATGGTTTCTAGTTAAATGGTCTTTAAGAATAACTTTGTCTACAACATCACCCTTGCATATACAAAAATACATAGTTATTAAATTGTATTGGTGATATATACACCTTCAGGTATGCACAAATGCATATACAATTAGCTTACCATAATGTAACAACTTCATTAGAATAAGTTTTAATCGGAATTGATTTGGCGCGAGCTAGACCAAAATCAGCCAGTTTCAAATCTCCTCTACTATTGATCAATAGATTTTGTGGCTTTAAATCACGATGTAGTATACGACGTTCATGACAGTAAGCTAAACCACGTAATAACTGGTATAGAAATAATTGGACATTATCCGAATGCATAATTCCATGACAATCGTGTAGATATTGTTTTAGATCACGTTCCTGAAATAAAGAAAGTAAGGAAAATACATAGGACAAAACAAGAAAGGCAAATGACAAGTATCCAAAGAAAGCACTAGAATGTATCTGTTTTTCGAAAAAACAAAATCCTAATTCATACAACAATAATGAAACAATTAGTAATTGTAAAAATTGACAGCGAAACAAGACTGTATTAATCAAACTGTCTATAGTCGTGTATATGAGTGCCAGTGATGTTTGCTGAGCCTAAAAATTTCTCTTTTTGTGAGTAGGAGCTAGCAACAAAATCCGGAATGTACATTTCTCCTTGGTTGGAACTTTCTAATTGTGGACGTGCCGGTTGACGTCCCACTACTACTGAAACTCGAACCAATTTATTTTAATAAATGACCAATATAGCATCCATTGAACAAGTATTGGCTAACATGAGTGATTCATTAAGTTGGTGAGTGACTTTCTGGAGCTTAAAATGACTACTTATTGATATAAATTTGCTCATGTATATAGCCTGATGTCTTCAGGCTAGACACATGTCAACAGTAATGCCACAGACTGTGGAATTAGGAGATGAATGTTTGAATCGCACAAAGAGCATCAGCTTCCTCATTAGTGCACTGGGTTTTCCGCCGACTATCTTCGACCATTCAAAATCTCAACAAAGTGTATAAAATGTCAGGTCATTCAGACTAGTGACTATACTGCAACTTGATCGATAGAATTCGATCAGCAGCACTAAACGTCTAGATAAACACAACATTACTCATTAATCAGTGATTAGTCAAATGTAATTCTAGTTTATACCTAGAAGTAGTAAAATTACCTTATCGATTCGTATGTATGTGTTCGTGACTCATATGTATTACACTAATTTCGCACATTTACCAAGCACAATTCTATGTAATGGACTATGAACCACATACATTATATGATGGATAATGATATTTACTAACCATCTGCTCTACACAAATCAAAGTAGATGAAACATAGTGACTGGTATGGGAACGAATAAACAACAAAGTCTGAAACAATTGATGGATATTTCGCAAATGAAGTATTACTGTGTGGATCTCAGATTTTACCAAGGTATTCTGTAATGTATTAAAATACATTTGATTGTACCCACTGTGTTCTCGTTCACTATACCAACAATAATAATAACAAATTGAATGCACCTTTGAAAAAAAGATAAATCCAACTATTGACATGTTTCTATTATTAAATAACTACACAGAAGAATTTAAGTGTGTATCTGTGTTCATCATAAAGTTCTTTGGCATAACCAGCTAAATCAATCAAGTATGTCCTATTTAAATGTATTGAGTAAGGAATAAGAAGAGAATTTATTGATTGTGAATTAAAAATCTTCGAGCAAATGTTTCAAATAAAATCATGATTGTAATCTTTGTTTTTAGTTCCAGTCATAAATACTACGTAGATAAAAATTGTAAGAAATACATGTAAATGTGTGTGGGGGGGGTATCGTTTTTCACACAGTATTTAGAGCTGTTTCAATTGAAATATGTGCTATTATTATTATTCATACTAAGCTACGCAGTCCCCGACTGATCCGTTTTAAGATTGAGCTGTTTACAACTAATTGATTACCGTGTTTAGTAACAAATCTCTCGATTACACCATCATGTTTATTCCTTGTTCATGTATTCATGGAACCAGTACTTGAACATAAAAATTCCTGTATATATATATATATATATATATATATATATATATATATATATATATACGGCTGTACAGCTTGGTGATTCTTTGGAAAGAGATCCCTATGTTGAACTTCGTGTTTTTAATGTTTAAATGGAAATTATATATCAACAAACTTTATGTTTGCCTGACTGTTAGAAGGACCTCAGATTATCGAGGTTTTTTGTCAATAAACGATAGTTTTTTTTGTGTTAAAATAACCGAAATAACAATGGAAGTGCTGTGTCAGTCCTCTTCTCAACTCAGTCTTTACTCCGACCAATAAAAAAGTTTCGAAATCATATTAAAATCATCATTCTGACAAAGCTACAATTTCTTCACAGATTGAATCATAGAATTTGACGTTTCAGTACAATTACTGACTTAGCATCCAGTGATCTCACTTGAGTCAACTTGCGATATTGTACAGCAATCATCATTCACTGCCAACAATCAAGCTATCTTCCTCTAATCTCACTTCGGACATTAACTAATCTCACTGATTTTTTAATGATTATTTACTAGTTAAAGTCAATCGCTGAAATAAACAATCATATATTTATTACTATCGATAACCTTTTTATTAAAAAGGGCGTTATTCATTTTTTTCACAAAAGAAAAATCAATACATTACGGGAAAGAATATTTTTCCCCAGTAATAATGATTATGCTTAACACGAATTTTAGATTGCAATTAGATTAGATAGAAAATAAAACAATGAAATCGTCTATTGTCGTTATTATGATTATTGATGAGAATGATGAAAGTGATTCATTGACTTTTCCCCTGTTCAATAAACATAAATATTACAACTATGAAGTGTTATTTTGATGAAGAAATGAAAGGGGCATAAGGTTCCTATTCATCATCCTATTGGGTAGTTTTACATTTTATACTAATCTCCAAAGCGTAGCCATCACCTTAGAAGAATATTAGAGTAAATATAATTAAAATAGATAAACCTGTTTATTATAAGTAAATAATCGATGGTAATGGTAATCAGGGGAGATGGATTAGAGGGGAGAAAAACCATAACAACGACAGAAGAAATCAATCTCTATACAGACCGGTCAAGAAGACATAAATAAATAAATTTGATTTTTGTTAATCGATAGTTTTGCAGAGGCTGTTAAACATTAATAATCAGTAGTACCAGTGTAGTAGTAACTAGTAATACATACATGTAATAAATAGTAATATTGAACCCAATTGTCATTCGTCCATAATTCGTCCAAAAATGAGGTTGACTGAGAAAGAGGGTAAGGAGGAAATACTGACACCAGATAATATAAGTATGGGATCAATTGTAAACTAAACAGTAAGAAAGGAAGGTAGAATATGAGAAAAACATATCGACTTGCCGGGAAAAACAAAGAAGGTAAGTAAACAGAACAAAGATTTACTGTAATATATATATATATATATATATATATATATATATATATATATATATATATTAGAGAGAGAGAGAGAGAGAGAGTGAGTTAAAAGACAAATTACATGTCAGTTCTGGTGAATCGTTCCAAATCAACAACTGTTGAACAACTTGTATCATACCACAACTGGTTGAGGAACAATCAACGTCAAATGTGTCTAGACGTTTGATGCTGCTGATCGAATTCTTTTGACCAAGTTGCAAAATGCGGCCCGATAATTTGTGCACTATGATAAAATGCTAAAAGGTTGGAGTTAATCGATAGAAAACTCTACTCAACCTGGGTTTCATACTATTTAGCATTCATCAGAAAGGTATAACTAGTATATAAAAAGAACTGATGTTTCCTGTGGGAGGTTAGTTGTTATCCAGATGGTAAAGCGGTAACATCCAACAGTGTGAAGCTGGGTGACGAGGATTCGAATCCGACAGGAAAAACAAACACTTCTCTAGATATTAAAGACACTCATTATCATTACTAACAAGTATGAACTAGCACGAAACCCAAGTTCAAGTTTTCTTTCCGATTACCTCTAACCACCTAACATAGCTTGTATTATCACTATACAATGATAACCTTTCATAGGTTGTGTCTCACTTTCTAAATGAGTGAACTCCACTGAATCGTTTCTTCTTACTAAGACTTTGAAAACATTCATGTTGAAGTTAGTTTTTGATGAGTATTAGATAGTTTTATGGAGATATGTATGGTTTAGAATGTACTATTAAATAAGGAAATAACATCAGTTTGAAAACCAGTGAAAAGTAGGAAGCACTGGATTCCTAATCTAAAAATTCCCACGACCCAATGATAACAGTGAATCGAAGAGAAGACCTAATTTCGATGAAATCAGTCGGTAATATGAACAATTCAATTGATGAGTAAGAAAATTTGAAAACGGATTTTTCGAGCTCAAATCACTAAGATATAGGGTCTGGAATCTTTGTAAAACTAATACTGTACCTGGAAAAATCAAATAGATCTTTCAATCAATACTGGATTGGAAAGAAAATTACCACGAGGTTAGTGTTAGAGATTGTCATTTCCTTGAACTGAGTATTGAGTGGTCGTACCTCTCTGATTATTTTACTCAAATATAGATGTCAGTAAATAATGGTTAGTATAATTAATACATCGAAATACGAAAGTAAATAAATACTTTGATTTTTAAAGCTCACTACCGAAAGTACCTAATGTCCAAAAATGTTTTAGGGAGTTTTTTAGGAGTCTCAGTGAAAATTTCAGAGATAGGATCTAAAGCGTTTTCGATCCAATAAGCATCCATAGCTATATTTACTATAAAAGCCTTAGTAATATATATAATCGATATATCGCTAATAATCCCTCTATTTCGAATAACTAAGAATTACTCAATGATTTCCTAATAGATCATGTGGAACTTATTTCAATGTGAACATGGTCGAGATCACTGGTTGACATCAACAGAAGATACCATTGAAAAAAGGCAGCACCAGATAACTATTTCGTCCTCTTCATTTGGAACTCACATTCATCCACAACCCTTGTGAGCAAGCATTTAACTCAGGAACTTCAAGTCCTCAACTAATGTTAATCCATAACAAAAAACAATGTCGAATTTATATTGATTTGTGTAAATAAAGAACGCACTCAATAACACTATATGCATAGTTCAACCTATACAGACGTCTATTTTATATTATTTGTCCGTAAACCTCTTACGATATTCTAATTACTAATGAACAAACCTATTGAACAAGAAAAAGGCAGACAAATAAAAAACACGAATCAATTACTAATTATGATCGATCCTCTCTTCTTTCGTTCACCTCTACAAAAACGTCCAAAAATTAAAACAATAACAATCATTAAAATAAAAACGAACACTGAGAAACGAATATATGATA